AAGAGGAAACGTGGCCGCCACGCTCCACTCTCCTCGAGGCCCTTTTACCGCAGGAAAGGAAATATACGACTTCTCATTTTGGGGGATTATGGGCCGTTGATGCCAGCCTTCCGCATGTTCAGAGCGTATAAAAATGTCTGAGCGATGAAAGTGAATAACTGGAGGTCTGCGCACAATGGGGCGATTTTATTTTTTATTGTCCAGCATTTTTGTTGGAGGCGACAGAGAGACGTTAATGTGTTGGAGGGCGGGGCTTTTTCCTTCAGGCAAGGACGGCGGAGCCTTGAGGGATGGGTGAGAGGTCCCTGAGTGACCGCAGCTGGGGCTTGGAGGGACTCTGCAAACGAGGGCCTCCCCGGGCTCAGATGTCCCGGGATTGTGCTCTGAGGTCGTGTCCCCAAGATTGCGACTTAGTTCATTTGTGCACATGCATGCACACACGCACACATGCACACGCACACACGCATACGCACACACTTCCACCTGAGACAGGGGTGGGGGCTGAGCTGTGAAGGGGAAGGGGAAGGATGGAGGGAATGTCCTGGGAGAACCGTTGCCTGGCTGGTTCTGCTGGGACTTTTTGAGGCTCAAAACTCCAACCCCGTTTCCTGAGCGGCTCTGGAAGACCCGATTCCTGCTCAGCATTTTGATCAGATGCGCGCAGACGTCTCGGCTGTTTAACTTAAGCACCTAGACAGCGACACTGTCTTATCTATTAGTGTCCTCCGCAGGGCTGGGGAGAGCCTGAATCAGATTGGATTTTCCATCAGCCTCGAGCTCCACCTTAGCAGCCGCTGGCTCCCAGGCAGAGAGATCGATGGGGAGGTAATTAAGGACCAGGTAGTATTGAGGAAATAATTACGGGGGGAGCGGGACCCCACAGCAGTTCTCAGAAGCTGCGACTCCCGGGTGACTCGCCAGCAAACAGAGACGTGAGGATTCCTGCGAGGGGAGGGGGTGTCCTCAGAGGAATTCGAGGTCGAGTGGAGGTGCGACTATTAAGGAAAGAGACCGGCCTTCCTCCCTGCAGAGCAGGAAACCTCACGGCTGCACTTGCTGCACGTAGACTGAGGCTGGGGTCGGATTTAGGAATATCTTACATGGATAGAAAACAACCTACTCTGTGCTGTGTTCATTTCACACAGACCCCACAGCACAGCTGAGCCCCACTGTCCTTCAGAAAGAAGATTAAATTGGGCCCAAATCCTATTTTATAACCATCAGATATGTGTTTCCCTGTCTCTCACTCTGTCTCCAATTCTCATTCTGGGAGGGGCAGGCTGCCCTGTTGTGAACCCCCCATGGAGAAGCCAGGTGGCGGAAACCGAGGTCCTCCGGAAACATCGGTGACCACCTGAGGCCACCAGGAGCTACAGGAGTGGCCTAGGAGGGGCCATCCCCCAGGCAAACCTTAGAAGACGCCAGTCCCGCCAACACCTCAGTTTCAACCTTCAACCCCTGGGATCCTTTGAAGTGGCTCCATCGTGGGTCACTTGTTATTTAGTACAAACAAGTAATACAGAGCCCTGGTTGTAAAAGTCGAGAGAGATGTCTACCATTCCTGGTCCATGGACCTCCTAACGTCTCTGAAAATTCACCCAGCAGCTCGAACTTTCTGTTTGGGGGCCCCACTTAATCCAATTTTAGAACAGCCGAGTCTCTGAAGCTCGGCTTTGTCAATCCACCTAAGTGCCCGGCCACCGTGTCCAACTGCTTTGTAAAACCTTGAGGCTCAGGCTGCATCGTGCCCCAAATCAAAAGGGAACTTTTCCATCAGGATATTCAAACAATGGGCATTGCAGACCTTGGCTCCTAAAGCTTTTAGCAAATTGAGATCAT